AAGAACTTTTTTTTTATAGGATAAGAGTGACAAACGAGCATACAGTCCACCTGATGGTAAGTGGTTGCTGTGGCCCATAGACATCTACATCTATTTTCGACTACGAATCAAAATTCAGATGCGTTGTCACCCGTGAGGACTAAGTTGGAATGCCTCGTTTCCAGTAAAAAGGGTCTCCGGATCTCTACACTCACCATACGAAACACAGCAGCGTTAAGCTGCTATTTTACGCTGGTATTCTGTGAGAGTGTGGTCCTTCACCGGTCGAGCCGACCCATTCGTGCTACAACCATAATATAGCTGCAGCATGGCTCTACCACGTATAACTTTTTCCATTGATCATAACTTCCTGCATTCTGTTACTTAAATATGAAATAATAATTTTTGGTATAATTTATTTATTTATTAATTATAATATTTGCATTTCGTTCGGGAAGTTCGGGACCAGCTACAGTTTCCAGTTTTAAATCAATAAAGAAAAGCAGTTAGGGAAAGTGAGAGGAAAATAAAGTAGAGAAATTTTCAATATCGCATTTCCAAAGGGGGCATTTTTGTCAAGTTAACCGGTTTTTCATTTCAAGATCTCAGTGTTCACTCTAATAGCAGGGAAAAATATAAAGTTACAGTCCACTTAATGACTGACGTCAAGACTGAGACCATTCCTTTATTTTATACAGCCTATAATATACGTCCCACTGCTGAGCACAGGCCTCCTCTCATTTATAAGAGGGCTTAGGGCTAGGAAGTGTCCGCCGCGCTGCCCCAACGCGTGTTGTCGAACTTCGCGTCTTCAAAACATTTTTTTCTTATTTCTCAGACATACCGGTTTCCTCACGATGTTTTCCTTCACCGCTGAGCACGTGGTAAATCAGCACATAAAAATTGCAATTAACAATTTTATTGGTGCCAGCGGGGATCGAACCCAGGTTGCTAACGTACTGTGAAACAGTGAGCGCTAACTATCTGAGCTACCACGGCTCCATTCCTTAGGTACGGGTACCTAAGGAATCTTAGTCGTCAACACTCTTTTGAGAATCCTTTCACTCTTCTCTTTTGAGAATTCTTCTCTCCAGCAGCTTCTGAGTTCAGCGTCTTATATAGGGGTCACACTCACATCGTTGTTCGGGAACCCATCGTGTAGTGGTATTGGTCTGTGAATAGAAGGTCAATAATTGGTTGATTTCTGCAGCGGGGCATGAGACGTAGTTAGTTCCCTTTTCAATTGGTGAAAGTTGTTCCTTGGGTAGAACCTCGTGAAAACGGAAACAAATAACAATAACAGTCACATGCTGTAACTGACATGTGGGTGGTCTGCTGACTGAAATTATTCCTGTAGTCATCTGAGGCAACTGAGACTCCGTGACGGACCGCTCCGGGCTCAAATGCAGAATCCTGTGCTCCTCGATACCGCCCGCATCGCCCGCCGGTTTCTTTCCCTTTCCCCCCAACCTTCAGTTGTTTCATCTCCCCTGCCGAGGGCTTAAATCTGGTTGGGCTTTTATTTATTTATGTATTATTTATTTATTTATGTTAGCATATTTAATGTATATTTATGTTTATTTATCATTTTATTTTATATAGAGTTATTTTGCAATAACCGGTCAAATTTGCAGAGAAAGTTCAGAATAAGTAATATAGGCAAATGGTGAAGAAAACTTAATTTAAAAAAATTCAAACATTCTGTCCTTTTCTACCGGCTCCAAAAAGGAGGAGATACTCAATTCAATTGTGTGTTTACAATGTGTTTTTTTACCCCATAACTTTTTTCTGGGTGAAACTGGATTTCGATGATTTTTTTATTTGAAAGCTGGTGCTTTTCATGTGGTTCCATATAAATTTGATCAAGATCTGACCAATAGTTATTGAGTTCTTCTTAATAATTTATATTGAAGTTGGTTGCACAAAATTTTAAACTTTAAATTAATATCTTTTAAATTCAAAATGTCTTATTTTAACTGATTTTAGTGTACACGCACATATTCGTAAGGGTCGATCGGTATGCAGAAATATTGTTGCCCATAAATCACATTTAATTTAGGATAATTTCAAATAAACGTAGAAGCTTTATTTACCCGTATTTTCAAAAACTGCAATAACGGTATATCCTTAGTTGTTTGAACCTTGTTTGAACTTAAGTTTGAAATTTGGCTATTATTTGAAAAATAAACCTGTATATTTATTCAGCCCAACCAGATGAGGCTTCATGAATACCCCAAAATAATAATAATACTCTAATTAACTTTCACATTTGTACGAACTTGTTTTAATAAATAACGAACGTAACAGCTCTAGCTATTAATATACCTCCCCCTTCTGAAACATTTCTTGAATACGTAATTTGAATTTCTTCTTAGTGGAGGCGCACTCAACTTCAAAGGATCAATTTAGCCCATGGTTGGCAACCAGAAAATTTTATCGAGATCAAGCATTTTAATATTCTATTCCCTTCAGATAACAAATTTCGTTTATGTAGGTACTCGTATTTGTGTATATATGTGATTGGTTTTTAAGAAACGCCTCTAAGTACTTTTTTTTTAATTTTGCCATGTTTTTAGTCACTTTCTTGCTAGTCTGTCGTTCCGTATGGAATTTAGTAATTGATTTTAAACTAACTTCCCCATGAGCTAGAAACATGCAACATTGAATAAAGCTCAAATTGGAATGACAATGCAAGAATATGATACTCGTAAAAAACGTGGTAGAATAAAAATTTTCACACAAAATTTTTAAAAAAATTCTCGTGTTAAAGAATAAGGGTGACAAACTAGCACACAGCCCGCTTGGTAAGTGAATATTGTGGCCTACATACATCTACATTTATCCTCGATTAGGAATCAATATGCAGATGCGCTGTCACCCCTGATTAGTAAGATGTAATGCCTAATTTCCAGTAAAAAGGGTCTCCGGTTCTCCACACTCACCGTACGAAACACATCAGCATTAAGCTACAATTTTACGCTGGTGTTCTATTTGAGTGAAATTTTGTATTTAGATGACGTCTTATTATATACGTTTATTAATATTTTCATGCCAGAGAAAATTACAATGTTTTTTAACGCTTAAGCTCGGTTACCCAGGTAATAATAATAATAATATCTTAGAAAATTTGCCATCTGCACGGGACCGGATTACATACGTAGAGCCAGAGGGTATGCTCAAGCACAGGTATAAAGAGAGCAGGCGCATAAACAACGGTTCTTTCTGATCGGCCCGATACACTGGTGCTGCGTAGGGAAATTGGGCTTCCCTTAGCATCTTCTATCGAATCTACCACGGGGAGTGTTTTGAGGAATTGTTCGGATTAGTTCCAGCCGCCAAATTTCACGAACGTACATCACGTCGAAATTCACGATACCATCCTCACCATCTGGATGCTTGGCGGTCCACGACTGTAGGTTTTACTAGGAGTTTTCTTCCTCGTACAACTTCTCAGTGGAATTGTTTACCACCGGCGATTTTTCCGGACGGATACGACTTAGGGACCTTCAAGAAAAGAGTTTACACCTTTCGAAAAGGCCGGCAACGCATCTGCAATTCCCCTGGTGTTGTGGTTGTTCATGGGCGGCGGTAGTCATTTACCATCAGGTGAGCCGCATGCTCTTCTGTAAAAAAACGGCTTTACGTGCTTTCCGAAGCACGGGGGTGAAAGACCCCCAACCTCAAAAAATAATACCAGTTACTCGACTCCAAGAGTCAGTAATTCCTGCATGGGGTAATGTATACGCTTTTAGAACAAAGTCCCAGAAAATAAGCAGGCCTTATATATCAAAACGCGTAGAATATTAAGCAAACATTTTTGAGTGGTTTATTATACTACTAAAGAGTACATGATTAAAAAAAAACCCTGGGAATGAGGTGATCGCTACCATGCTGTTTCTAAATGTTTTCATAACAATTGTATAAATATTATATTGTCAGTGGTGGTTTAAAAAAAGTTCTGTTGTTTCACGGGAAGGACTGGGAAATTTTTCAAAAACTAACTGAAACTAACTAACTCATATCATCCCGTATTTGTGGTAAGAGTGACAGAGGAAAACAAATCAGGAGATGGGCAACAGGGTCTTCCTGATAACAACAAAAAAGAAAAAAAACTGCAGTTGCCTGCCCGCTTCCCAAGCATGGCTACTGTGGTATATATTTCCCTATGAGGCAATCTATGGGCGAAGCCTTTGTCTTTTTGTTTGCATTGGACTTTTATAGGCTATAACGGTAACGGTACGTGCCTATCATCGAGTTCGCGCCGACTGACGTCATGATGTTACGTAAAATATTTTTCCAAAGTAATCTTTTAAATTATTCATTCATTCATTGCAGCCTGTTAGAAGTCCGCTGCTGGACATTAGAAGTTTTTTTGTTTGGAGCTTTTCTTCAGCAGGATGTCCTTTATTTAAATTGCCCACCAGATTATAATGTCAACTGTTGGAATAGCCTGTCAAACTGATTTACGGTAATTATTTTTTTATAGAATATGGGTGACAAATGAGCACACAGTCCACTGGTAAGTGGATGTTGTGGCCCACAGATATCTGCATTTATCCTCGATTAATAATCAAAATTTAGATGCGCTTTCACCACTTACGGCTCCGTGGCGTAGTGGCTTAGTAATCAATTGTTTCGCTGGGGCCCGCGGGTTCGAATCTCGCACGGAACAAGTATTTGTATGGCCTACAAATAATTGTTCCGGGTCTGGATGTTTGTCCTTGTGCAATTTATGTTTGTAAACTGCCTCCACGACACAGGAGAAAATCCTAGTGTGGGGGTAACGTTTTAAAAAAAAAAGAAAAAAAAACTTAGGACTAAGATGGAATGCCTCGTTTCCCGTAAAAAGGGTCTCCGAGTCCCTACACTCACCATTCGAAAAACAGCAGCATTAAGCTGCTATTTTACGCTATATCCTCTGAGAGCGTGGTAGTACCCCGGTTAAACTAACCCATTCATACGACAACGATAATACAGCTGCAACGTGGCTCTACCGCGTAATAAGTAACTTGATGTAATACCTTCATCGTCAGTAGACCTAATCCGCCGATACCAGCGGCACCCATCGTTTTCGCGAACATTAAACCAAGGAGAGCCAAACTGCCGGCACCACCGTCACCTTTGCCTCGACCAGTAACTAAAAAAAATCAAATAGATAGAAATACTAACATAAATATATTTTGAAAAATTCGGTAAAGTATTTACCTTAGTCTTTCAAAAAATAATTTACTGCGCTTAACATTAAATTAAAAAAAATTCACGTATTTTATCGCGTTTTATTTAACCTTTTAATTTCCGACGTTTCGGGTGTTTTATAATCGTAGTACCCACGGGGGGACCGAGGTGAATGACGTCCCGATGTCATAGTTAGTATAGTGTTTGCATATATATAGTATACAGTAAATATTGTTATTTGTTTTATTTACTAATAATTTACCATGCACAAATACACAAACATACATTTATATATAAGTCACTGTCTCGAGCGCACCGCGTCAGTTACACGAGAGCCTCGGGCGAGAGTGGACGTGTTTAGTTAAGTGCGTGCCGAGCCTGTGTTACACTACAATGATTAGAGAAGATAGCAGACATTACAGTTAGCATAGTTACCATGTATAGGAATTAAAAAGTTAAATTAAACGCTATGAAATCCGTAAAATTATTTTTATTTAATGTGTAGAGTTCGCGTAAATATAAGAAATCATTATTACGCTTAACTTTTAAGGGCCTAAAATTTACAGTTTTTATCAAATTTAGAAATAAGAAGTCGCAGTTATATGAATGCATTCATTATTATATTATATCATTATTTATATCATTCATCATCATCATCATTATTACAGCCCTTCACAAGTCCACTGCTGAACATAGGCCTCCCCCAAAGAATGCCACAAAGCACGGTCCTGAGCCACTTGCATCCATGCACTTTATGTAATTATGTTATAAATAAAAATTTAAAAAATCAGACTTATTTATAAATATATTTAAATTTCTTTTGAATTGCTACAATTCTCACCACTCAGCATTATGTCTACTCTGTATCTGTATTCTATCTTAAAATAATATGCAATGATATGTTTAAAATGATCTTTAGTATAAAAAATAAATAAATAAGGAAGTCAATAAAATGAAATTAAAATTAGAAACATGATAATATAACACGAATAGCAAAAATTTGTATAAATACGAGTTTATATTTAGAATGCTCAAACGGACGTCATTTTCGATATTTCAAAACCCACCTTATTATACTGGTATAAATATTGCTGCTTACCAATAATAACCTTTTTTATGTAAAACTTTCGCGTATTTAAAAATAAAGTATTTATATACGACTGCTTAGCGATTACATTTTAACATACAGCAACAAGTTTCAAGTATTTAGCTTTTCGGGTATTTAATTTAAAATCAATTGTAAAATTTGAACCGAAGAGACAAAAAAGCAAAAAAAAAAAATTAATAAAACGAATAGAATAAGGGTGAAAAACGAGCACACAGTGCACCTGATGGTAAGTGGATACTGTGGCCCATAGATATCTAAATTTATCCTTTATTAAGGATCAATTTGCAGATACGCTGTCACCCCTGAGACCTAAGATATAATGCTTCGTATCCAGTAAAAAGGAGACTCTTTTTTCTTTTTTTATAGAATAAGGGTGACAAACGAGTATACAGTCCACCTGATGGTAAGTGGATGCTGTGGCCCATAGGCACCTACCCTCGATTACGAAACAAAATACAAATGCGTTATCACCCATGCGGACTAAGATGGAATGCCTCCTTTCCAGTAAAAAGGGGCTACGGTTGTCTACACTCACCATACGAAACACAGTGGACTTAAGCTGCTATTTTACGCTGGTTTCGTGCTACAACTAATAGAGCTGCAGTATGACTCTACTACGTGGCTATACTATAATTTCTGCCGCCACATAGCAGCACTTGCACTGCTGTGTTCCTATTTGAACGGTACTGGTAGCCTCATCGATATATATGTACTAAGCAATAGATTTCGCATTCCGAACATTGACTATGTTCAACTGAACTGTACTGCAAACCGTACACTAAACTAAATATTGCGTAAATTGATGATTTGTGAATTCCATAAGATGATTATTATTACATTTTATTTAGAAATATGTTTGCTTAATTAAAAAAAGGAGTATTTTATATTAAATTGTTATATTTATTTTATATTAACATCTTATTTTATATTAAAGTCTTCGCGCATACGCGACTCTATCGCCCGCGCATGCGCGAAGACATAGAGTAGCGCATAATTTTTGTTTGGAATGGCTTGTCTAGTACGTAGTACATATAACTCAATGGGTAGCCTATGTAATTACAGTCTGGGAATCATTCCATCTTATGCCTCAGAAATGATAACGCATCTGTAGCCTCCTTTGTTTTAAGATGGCTGCAATATCCATGGCCTGAAGAAGCCACTTACCATCAGGTGAACTGTATGTTCATTTATCACTCCAGCATTATAATAAAAATGACAAATAAGTAATCTTTCCTCAACACTAAGATTTTTTTATATATTTTATCGGATAGGGTGACAAACGAGCACACAGTCCACCTGATGTTAAGTGGTTGCTGTGGACCATAGACATCTACATTTATCCTCAATAAAGAATCAAAATGTAGATGCGTCGTCACCCGTGAGGACTAAGATGGAATGCCTCTTTCCCAGTAAAATGGGTCTCCGATTCTCTACCCTCACCGTACGAAACACAGCAGTATCAAGCTGCCATTTTACGCTGGTATTCTGTGAGAGCGTGGTCCTTCCCCGGTCGAGCCGAACCATTCGTGCTACAACTATACTACTAATATAGCTGCAGCATGGCTCTACCACGTTTATTTTTGTACATCGCTTAATATTACAGTATATCCTGAATCAGAAAATAACCAAATAATTACTGATAAATTTTGAGAGCTGAAAAGTACGTACCATTATTGTTTTTGTAGGATTCATCCACAATTTTTAGCGATTCCTCGAAAAATTGACTGACTTTATCTTTTTCGATAAGATTTGGCAGTTTGACGTGAAGCTCGTGTTCTTGAAGAAACTTTGCTATACGGAATAGCGGTGCGTTCCCGAAAGATCTGCTTTCATCCTCTATACTGTTCGACACTGGTATACTGACTAACTTAACACCGTCTGCTATGTCTAAATCGCCGTCCAAAAGAGACCCGAAGCTGACAGTAGCAACGGCTAAGAGTACGGCGATCTCCCGAAACATTTTCTCTGAGAGTCGTTTTATTAATAAGTCAGAAAGAGAGGCATAAATGCTTTTATAGAGATAGCTTTCGAAAAAATGAAAACATAAATCTGTGAGCAATTGCCACGGGGAGCGGAGTCGACTAGTGTAAAAAATTAAGTGGCTGATTCTGCAATGATTTAGAATTGTGTGATAGTTACTACTTTAACCTTCTACTCTAAACTTCTGTGTTGTATGCATTATAAAAGACGGAAGAAACCGTTTGGTTAGGATGCGTAAAATATCGATAATAAGGGTCGAAGCCCCGCCAACCGTCTGACTGTCCGATGGTGAAAAGGGGAGGGAGCAATCATGTAATTCTTGCGCGCATTCTTTGGAAATACCTAAATTATTTAAGATAGTACCTTATCCACATAAAGGATAGATGAGTAGCTGTCGTATAATGTGGCTGACATATACGTCCGAGACAAAAAACCCCTAAATAAATAAAGGGGAATAAATTACTATCGCCGAGGAGCATGTGAACCCACTGCTGTGAAGACTTGAATGAGATGGAGAGTTTTTCAGTTTTATATCTGTTTCAAAACCAGTTATAACAGGCCATTGTGATGAAATAAAACCTTCATTTCCACAGATGTGAGAAAACATATAATTACAATGGCCACCTTATCAACATTAAGTCTAACTGTATAGTTTTAACTCTCTTGTTATAAAAATAAAATAAAAACACCAGTATATTATACACTGACCGGCTCAAAAAACGACTCACTATGATGACCTTTAAGCTTATTAAACTCTTTCAAAATTATTATAATTCAAGTATTAGAATATTGTTGCAGAATAGCGTCCAAACGAACGACATTGAAACAACTTAAAAATAAACTAAAACAATAGCGTACACTTGAAGACAGTGCGGAAAACTTGCTAGAAGTGATGATATATTATTTTGAAATTGTCTACAATCTAAAAAAAATCTTAACTTTTTTTTTATTATGACATGAAAAATATATGATTTCGAAATTATTACAATGTGTTAAAAATAATAATACAATGTTTAAATTTGAGTAAAATTTAAAATTGCATAATATAGATTATGTATATATTAAAGCGTCAGTAAAATTCGATGTATAAAAATACAGACACTTTGTGCTTTTTTAAATAAAAACATATTTTTCATTGTCACTTCTAGAGTAAGTATGTATATTGTGATTCGTATCGTAGATAGTGAAATAACACTTCAATCCAGTTATTTTCGCCTCCGGCGAGAAGTAAACGCAATGGTTTTTCTCCTTTTTGCATTTATTTCGAGCAAGTGAGAGTGCATGTCTGAAAGTTGGCACTACTGCGTCGAATTGAAGGGCCGTTCGAGCGTCCCTAGTGCTGTGTTGTTTGTTTTTCGTATTCGTCAGAAGGTCGAGTAAAGAAAAGGAAAGCTATATGATTACCGTTATAACCTATATTAAAAGTTCACTGCTAAACAAAGTCCTCCCCATTAATTGCCTCCGAGGCAATAGGGGGGACCGATCTGTACCAAACCCTAAATCTCGCTATCGAAGTTTGAGCATTGGCCGCTCCCGGGCTAAACACCATGCCCGGTAAAAGATCTCCGCTTTTTACTATCGCAGCCATATTTCGCACATAATTTCCAATAAATTTAATAAATATAGGTTTGTTTACTTATGTCGCCTTTTACTACACTTTACTACGGCATGTATAGGGTAGTGGATATTGTTACACCGTTACTTCACTGTTATAAACCGACAACGGAAAACAAACCAGGAGATGGACATAATTTTTTTTTAATAACAACTAAAACATAAAAACTGCAATTGCCATCTGGGCTGCCAAGCGTGAATACTATTACAAATAACCCCCTATGTTTGGGGCGGGGAGATGTGATCATCGTGTTTTTTAATAGAATAGAATAGAATGATTTTTATTCAATATGGATTATTACATAATCCTTATTGAAAGTCATTATTTTATTTACCACTGGTTCGGAAAATACCTCTGTCCTGGGAAGAACCAGCAAGAAACCCTGCGGGACTTTTTTTTAACATAATTTCACTTAACAATAATTTTGTTTATACAATTTTAAATGAATTTTCATAGAACCAGCATGGTGGCGATCACCTTATTCCCAGGGGTTATTTTCATTCATGTATTCCTTGATATTATAATAACCCTTTTTGTACAGTTTTTCTTTGATAAAACTTTTAAACTTGTTTATTGACAAACTTTGAACATGTTCTGGGATTCTGTTGTAAAAGCGTATACATTGCCCCATAAATGAATTACTAATTCTGTGGAGTCTAGTAAGTGGCATTACAAGCTTATGTTTGTTCCTAGTGTTTAAGGTATGAACATCCTTATTCTTATTAAATTTCTTATAAATTCTTAATAGGCTGTAAAGAAGGAATGCAGGACACTTCTCCAATTTTTCAACAGGTAATTCGTGATAATGTGATAAATATTGCCGTAGTAACTAAATTTAATATAGCTGTACTGAATTTTCATAATGATTTCATATATTTACGCGAACACTACACACCGAATTAAACTACTTTTACGGATTTTATCGCGTTTAATTGTCCTTTTTTTTTAAGTTCCCGACGTTTCGGACGCTTTCCAGCACCCATGGTCACGGGGGACTGATGTGATTGTCATCCCGACATCAGAGTTAACCTGGATTATCTTCAGCTTTTTAATTATTAGTTTTGGTCCGATCTACGCAGAATGAACTTACCGTGTCTCGAAGTCTTGCAGTGGTATGCTTTGATTCAGTTTTAATTTTACTAATTACAGGATCCCAAGCAGGTGGCAGTACCCAGCCTTCCTCTTTATTAAAATTAGCATGTTTTTTTAATTTCAATAGCCTCACCTCACCTCACCTCACCTGCCAGCCTTGTCGGGAATTGATGTTCTTTTGTGAGAATTTATAGTCTATAAAATCTATCCGAAACGTCGGGAATTAAAAATAAGAACAGTTAAACGCGATAAAATCCGTAAAAGTAAAGTAAACATAAAGTTTTATTCAAAGTGTACTGAATTTTGTCAAAATTAATAGAATTTGTCATCTCTCCACGTGTCTGGGTAATGCGAGTCGGTCTCCAATTAATTTCCTTTAGTACAGTATAATGTTACCAACTAAAGACGGTACACAAATTGAAGCGTCGTTAAGGGAATGAGATTATTCTGCTTTAAATAAACTTTTGGGTCTGGAAGTCCTGTCAATAGTAATTTACATCAAAATATTAATCTAGCATCTATATTTTACAAGTAAGACATTGCCTGCGCACAATAAAAATAGATTGAAGGCCGAATAACGTGGTCTTTGAGGAAATATAGGTTTGTATTTGGTACTCAACCGGGGACAAGCGAGCACACAGTCCACCTGATGGTGAGTAGTTGCTGTGGCTCATAGACATCTACATTTATCCTCGTTTGCGAATCAAAATGCAGATCCGTTTTCACCCGTAAGGACTAAGATGGAATGCCTCTTTTCCAGTAAAAAGGGTCTCCGGTTCTCTATACTCACAATAATAATACGCTCTTTCTTATTAGTATAAAAAAGCTTATACGAGTACCTACTTCACTTGGTTGCATAAATATTTCATAGTAGTTTATTTATTAAGGGTATTTAAATTAAATTTCTGTATTATTTTTCCTTAATAATTTTATTATTTTTAGATAAACAGATTACGCCTACAGTACAATTTTACTCTGTATCGTGAAGGCAGTTTACATACATTTATACGTGGTAGAGCCATGCTGCAGCTATATTAATAGTATAGTTGTAGCATGAATGGGTCGGCTTGACCGGGAAGGACCGCGCTCTCATAGAATACCAGCGTAAAATAGCAGCTTAATGCTGCTGTATGGCGAGTGTAGAGAACCGGAGACCCTTTTTACTGGAAAAGAGGCATTCTATCTTAGTCCTCACGACTGACAACGCATCTGTATTTTAATTTGCAAACGAAGATGTGTAGATGTAGATGTCTTTGGGCTACAGCAACTACTTACCATCAGGTGGACTGTGTGCTCATTTGTCACCATTATTCTATAAAAAAAATACATAAATTGCACCAAACATAATATGTTCATCATTCATCATCATCATTACAGCCCTTCATAAGTCTATTGATGAACATAGGCCTCCCCCAAGGAATGCCACAAAGCATGTCTTACCATTTCGTCACTCCATCTAGTGAGGGGTCGCCCTACACTTAGCCTACGGGTACGAGGCTGCCACTCGAGAACCTTTTTTCTAAACATATAATTATTCAGACCCGGATAAATTATTACAATTGTAAACTTAGTTCAAATCCTGTTCTGTTCTGCAATAAATTTGATAATCGCAATTTTAAGTGAATTGACCCTTTGCTATATATTAAGTAGCAATATCGAAAGAAAACCATAAAGATTAAATTTTTAAAAAGCTAAAACATTATCACCCAGCGGGCAAAGATCGAAATCTTCTTTACCAGTAAAAGGGTCTCCGGGTCTCCATACCACAATACGAAAAATAGCAACAATGTGACGAAATGCCAAAAACTAGACGAGACTATTATTTGTTTATATATTGTATATAGGTGTTCAAGAATTTACGTTTGAAAAATGTCACAGTGATAACTGGTCAATCGCGGTGTAAGACTATCGATGTGTATAAGATACTGAAACAAGAGATGGGCAGTAGCATCTTCCTGATAACCACCCTGAAATTATAAAAACTGCGGTTGACATCCCGCTTAATAAGCGTGCCAACTATGGAAAAATACCCCTAAGAGGAAATCTTTGGGGGAGGCCTATGTTCAGCAGTGGTCTTATATAGGCTGTAATGGATGAATGGATGGATGGATGATACAGTTCAATAAAAATATTTTATTATTGATAATTTGCATTATTTACATCCCACCACGTTTTATAGCTAGATAATGCACATTGCTAGATATTTCTGATATTAGAAAATATTTGTGTTAAATACACTAACGTTTTAGTGCTTGGCAACTTCTTGGCAATTA